TGCCATCAGTGCACATGAGTGCTATCAGTCAGTCAAGCACTCGCTTACCCGGAGAAGGACACGTCGCTCCCTCCCTGCTGTCTGCAGCCATTTGACATGCAGATAAAGGGGTGCACATTCCTTTCTATTTTAAGACTGATGGTTCACGTCTTTTATTACTTTAACTCATTCGACACTGTTCTCAACCCACATTTATTTGTCCTGCTATTTTCTCCATCCTTTCTTTCTTTTGTCCACAGGCATTTGGACAGCAGCAGCAATGAGAGACCTGATATCAGCTCTCTTCAGAGGAGGATTAAGGTATATTTCTTGATGCATAGGAAAGCAGTGCACTGTGTACTGAGAATATTGTCAGTGAAGTCAAGTTGCTGTGGAGAAAAATCCATTTTTAAGTATTTTCAAATTTTCTACAGGATTTTTTAAAGGATTTGTTTACTTCCAGAATAAAAGTGATAGTTTACTCACCCCTATGTCATCCAAGTTGTTCAAGTCTTTCTTTCTTCAGTCAAAAAGAAATGAAGGTTTTTGAGGAAAACATTCCAGGATTTTTCTCCATAGAGTGGACTTGGTTGAAGGTCCAAATTGAAGTTTCAATGCAACTTCAAAGGGCTCTACACGGTCCCAGCCGATGAATAAGAGTCTTATCAAGAGAAACGATCGGTCATTTTCTAAAAAAAAAAACTCATAAAAATGTGTATACTTTTTAACTACAAATGCTCAGTAGTTGGTGGGAAAAGTGCATGAAAGTTGTCCAAAGCAGCATGGGAGAAATTCACATGATATTTAAATTGTTTTAAAAAGGCACTTTATAAGGTATGTGCTCTTATGTGCACCAAGGCTGCATTAATTGGTTTAAAAATATAAAACCTGTTAAAACTAATATCATGAAATGTTATTACAATTTAAAATAATTGCTTTCTATTCAAATGTATTTTAAAATTTGTTGCTTGAGTAACATTTCTTCTTACCAATGTTGAAAACGGTTGTGCTGCCTTACTACTTTGTGAAAACCGATACATAAATTTTTTGTTGACAAGAAAGTTTGAAAAAACAGCATGTATTTGAAATGGAAATCTTTTGTAACAATATAATGTAATTTTTGATCAGTTTAATGCACACGTTTTTCCCATCACTTAATTCAAACTCAGTTTTGCGCTGTTTCTGTATTTCTGATTTTCTCAGAAAGTGACCCATGACATGGACATGTGCTATGGGATGATGGGAAGTCTGTTCCGCAGCGGTTCTCGTCAGACTCTCTTTGCCTCTCAAGTGATGCGTTACGCTGACCTGTACGCTGCGTCCTTCATCAATCTCCTGTACTACCCTTTCAGCTACATGTTCAGAGCCGCCCATGTCCAGGTAAACTCAACAAACACAGTCTAACACAGGGGTGGGCAAACTTGGCCCTTCCAGGCCACTTTAGGCTACATGCAGGTGAGTCATATCAGGGTTGGATCAAACTCTGCAGGAAAGTGGCCTGGAAGGGCCAAGTTTGCCCACCACTGGTCTAACAGTTGATACATTAATCATAAAAGTCACTTCAGTAACCTGTTTTCTTCTGTGGTACATTTAGATGCCTCACGAGTCCACGGTGGAGCACACTCACGTGGACATCAATGACACGGAGTCGCCCATGGCCACACGCAACCGCCACTCCATCGACTTCAGAGACCGTGAGTGCAAGAGACACCAGCTGACCCGCTCCGTAAGCGAGATCAATCCGCCACACCTCTTCCCCCAGACGCCACAAGAGATCACGCACTGCCACGATGAGGATGATGATGAGGAGGAGGAGGAGGAATAATAAACCTGTGGCATTGCCGTTAACTGAATTTGGGTTCTTAGAGATGTGTGTCTGCTGTTTAAACAAGTATAATCATTGCATTCACACTCAGCCATATATTTTATAGAGATAAGAGAGGATGTTTATTTCTTGCAAAGTGTATTGCGTATTTTAGAATTTATGGTCTGATGAGAGTATGAAGCTAAAACTGGGTTTTGATAGTTCTAGCTTCTTATTTTTGAATGGGGTTTACAGATGGCCTCACGGTAAAACATGGAAGTGTTAACGGGGAAAAGATCCCCGTTTAAACTGAATTACAGAATCAGTTATTTGCATGATATTGAGGGAACAAATAACAGTTACAAGGTACGTCACTGACTTAAGCTTGAGGAAAATGCATGAATACTTATTTTGTGGCTCCACGAAGCCTTCAAAATTTGGATAAGAGCCATGTAGCATGCTGGGAAATGTCACACCAACAATAAATGCAGCTTGCTCGGTGTCTGTCTGACTGCCTGTTAAGTGCTGTAACATTGCCATCTTCATTTCAAAACCGGTCCATGCAAATTGCTGTCATATTATTGGGTGAAAAATGGAACACATGCAACTGTTGCTATTTTATGCAGTGAGATACAGGGTTTCAGGTTACTAGATTCTGAAGTGTAGTAACAGTTTGGGAGATGACCGCAACTCTGAAATCTCCGTCTTTCTTATGCACTCGCCATGATCACTGTGTTAATATTAGACCTTGAATCTAGAGCTTAGATTCATTATTTACTACTTTTATATCCACTGATATAAAAGTTAATTCAGCCTGATATATTGAAAACAAATCTTTTTGTTTGATTTTAGCATAACGGTTAGTTTTTGGCAGTTGGCTGTGATTTAAGATTGAGAGCTGGTCTGAATGTTTGACACAAAGCCTTGTGGGTGACAGTGGACCAAAAGGAAGCTCGTCCATGAATCACGCTCTGTCATAATGAACATTTGTAATTCATACAGTAACCGTCCAGATCCTGAAACTTTGTTTTTGGCTGACATGGTGCTGTTTAGCATCAGAAGTGGGTTTGTCTTTTGTTATTGTTTTAAATCAAAAAGGGAATTTTTCAATGGAACCATACCATACCATGTGCACTCATATATACTGTATTGGTTTATTTTGAACTGTGTTGTTGATTTTGGACTAGAGTTGAAATCAAAGCCATCTTGCCAATGTAATTTGTGAAGGGATGCTTTCATAACCAAAGACTGTTATTAGTGTCCTTCATTTAAATTCACAGATGCTGTTGAAGATTATTGATTCTGTGACTATTGTGTGATAGTGATATATTTGCTTTAACCTAATCAAACAACCCCTCTATATTTATTTTGAGGCTTTTTAATTCAGGTAAAGTCTGCTGTAAACGGGGTGTGGTATGTTTGTGATTCATCTGTACTTTTTGTTTAAAAACTCTGGATTTGTTTGATTCTGTTTGAGCCCAAGGCCTGTTTAGGATTGGTTTTCAGTGCTTTGGCTTGTTGTGTATGAAGAGAATAAAGTTCCTGTCATGCGGCACCCCCTTGTGGTCATTCAGCAATAGCTGTTTTTGCGTCTTCCAAAACCAACAGAGAAAAGTTGTGCTCCCTAGCTCTTGTATTTTGTTTAAAACCTGGGAACTTTAACTTTAAGGGCCAGTTGTTAAAATTTTTTATCTGGATCAGAATGACCTGGATTTGAAAATCCCATGTTTTGCTATCCAGGATCATGTAATCCTTTTTACTTTTCTGATGGTTTTTCAAAGCAAAATTGGATAGGATCACAATGATCCAGATCCACACACTTTTTCAGATTACCAAATCTGGATTACTAGTGCTCTATGGAGCCCCTAGAGGCCAGTTGTTCAAAAAATAATCTGATAAAATTTAAACTATCGGATTGGATCAAATCTTGAAAATGGGTTGTTCAAAAGAAAAAAGGATTGTAAAATCAGATTAAATCACAAAATCCAATCTTGGTTTTGATCTGGATCAAATCGTCACTGTGTTGTTCAAAACCTTTTAGTAAGATTGGGATACTTTTGATCCAAAAAAATCAGGATTATACTGATCTCAGCAAAATGGTGGATTTCAGGAATAAAAATGTACATTATATATACAGTATATATAGACATTAGGCTACCTCTTAAGCCTTTTAGTCGCTTACAGTAACGTAAAAAGAAGAGATCTTGGTGCCAAATAATCCCCAAACAGCTGTCAATATCAAGCAGAAATATTATATTTCATTTAAAGATCATGGGTTCGATTGCCAGCAAACTGAACATGCATGAACTGATAAAAGCATCTGCCAAATGCATATATGTAAATGACCTCAAACTTTGTACGTGCATTCCACAACATTAAAGTGTCGACGCTTTGCAGGCATTTTCATTACATTATATGAGAAAAAAAGTCACACAAAAAATAAATAAATTGGGTTAACCAGTATTTCCAATAACTCCAAAATTGAAATGGGTCAAATTGACCCCCAAGTTTCCCAACATAAGGGCTGGTAATTGCTTCAAAACAGTTTAGGCCAATTAAAATCTTATTAATTTTCTGTTTTAAAAAATCGTAGTCAATATTATTGAGTAAAAAAAAAAAAAAGTGTTAATTTTTTTTTGTATCAATTTTCTGGTTAAAACCAGTGTTAAACGTTCAATAAATAAATATGCAAGCAAACAAAGTTGTCAGTTTTATTATAGCAAGTTCCATCTGCATTATATATATATATATATATAAAGTGAAAAAGTGACGTGACATGTGGCCAAGTATGGTGACCCATACTTGGAATTAGTGCTCTGCATTTACCCATCCAAAGTGCACACACACAGCAGTGAACACACACAAACCGTGAACACACACCCGGAGCAGTGGGCAGCCATTTTATGCTGCGGCACCCGGGGAGCAGTTGGGGGTTCGGTGCCTTGCTCAGGGGCACCTCAGTCGTGGTATTGAAGGTGGGAGAGAGTGCTGTACATTCACTCCCCCCACCTACAATCCCTGCCGGTACGAGACTCGAACCCACAACCTTTGGGTTATGAGTCCGACTCTCTAACCATTAGACCACGACTTCCCCTATGTATATATAATATACATATTATATATATATAATACGTATATTTAAATCTGATATAGCATTGTCTGTTTTATAGTATGTAAGCATACAATAGTACTCTCTGATTTATACAGTATCTCTATACACATTCAAGATTGAAAATAGCAGCAGTGTATGACAGACTCAAACCGCATGTTAGAGCACCACATTTCTGAAGATGTTTCCTCTTTTCTAAGGCAGGCGATCCAACGTGAAAACACTGATCTGATCTGTAGGACATCACCAAATGCTTTAAGTGAAAAGAACAGGCGTTCCTCTTTAACACAATGTGAAAAAACTGGAATAAGTGGTCGATGTAACAGAAGAACAGGAATGCTGACCGAAGACTTTGTTAGTGTTCAACAATCACTATTTCACATCTCAAGCCCCTTAACAGTAGTTGTTAATCTAACAGATTTACTCTACCTCTCAGTCTCATTACATTAAATTCTGCTAGTTTACTTTCGGATATTTTGTCCTACCTGTGAGCACATTAATTGGTCATGATTGTCCCTGCATAGCTGTTGCACTATTGCACTGAGAGGTTGCTACATAAACACTTGAGACGTGAATGTCCTGATATCCAGCGGCTTTACGCATCTGACAGGAGCGTCTCAGGAGGTTCTGATAAAAAACAAAAACAGTCAGCGGATAAAAACATCAGCCAGAGATTCGTTCCCCTTTGTAACAAGAGCGTTAATGTAATCCTAAACCAAATAAATACATTAATGCTGAATTATTTTTCTTTTTCATCTGTTTTAAATTCAGTAAATCATCAAGTACCTCTTTTACAATCCCATGACATCGAGTCCTACATGAATAGCTTTTCAAAAAATAATAAGATAAAAGAGCAATAGTGGAATCTGGAAGATAAGATATAAGTTACAGTGTAAGTTGCTGAAATAGTGTCTTTGAGGTCCTAAACGCAGCTAGCAACTATCTGAAGAAAGGTAGTTGTGACATACAAAATGTTTCTTTTAAAAATTAAGAGTTACGTGATTACAACAAAAGCACTGAAAATCAAAAATGTATCATTAATAAAGAGTGGTCCGACGTACGTAAAAATGGAACCAGTCATGAGACGTATACTCTATTCACCTTAAAATAGGTGACGCTGTACCTCAGCACAATCAGGATTGACGTAAAAAATCTCTATCTCTCTCTCTCTCTATATATATATATATATAGATGAAAAAGGCCCTTATATGTAAACACATTTGATTTCTTTGTACTGTGAATGCTGTACGTAGCACATCTGCGCGTGAAGTTAACCTGGGCAGGAGAAATCACTGAAATCGTTGGCGGTGTTATTTGGCACAGTCCAGACAAACGCCATTTTGCCTGCTTATGCGTGTCGTGTCCGAGGCTGCTGTTTTTGTAACAAATTCTCGCAAAGGACCCACAATTATGCTGCCTGTTTTATCCTGTCTATGTCAAATGTCTTTGGTCGTGAGGCCTCTTCTGATAGGCTGAGATGTATTCTGGCTTTTCTCGAAGGGCTTGGGGATATTGATCTCCATGTTTACAAGCCTCCCGGTCGCTGAGATCTCATCTGTGGCTGCATCTGCTCAGACTTCCTGGGTCAAATGGAAGATTTTGGAGAGCTCCGTGTGGCCCGGGCCCCTCGGGGGCCTCCTTTGTTGACAGTAACCGAGCGCTGTCTAAAGGCACCGTTATTTCTTTGTCCTTCTGGTATCGTGTCTGGTCAAGGTGTGGTGTGGGTCGTCACCTTGCTCCTTCGAAGTGAAAGTGTGTATTTCAAGTGTGTCTGTCCTCGATCGAATGAGCGAGCGAGAATGATGTGGTGGTCCCTGACTGATCCGCTGCCTACAAAAGGTGTTAAGGTCATTAGTGCATGCATTGTGGGATATGCGGCCCTTCACATTGTAGTCTTTGCGTACGTTCCCCTTTGAAATCGACCGTGATGAGAGGAAGTGAAGCTCCCCAGTGTACAAGAAGGCCTCTCGCTCAGTACGTGACAAGGGAGAGGCTAACGGAGCCGTTTGCGCTCTTTTGCCATCTCTCTTCGCTGAAGGTGGTTAAATTGCCCCGTCGTTGTGAGCGGTGTGGTTGGGTTTGTGTGCGTTGGTGGTCAAAAGAGTGGCCGACTCGTCCAACGGTCCATCCTGATGCTCTGTGAAGGTCAGCTCGATCTTGGTGAACTCGCTGTCTGTGGACTGGGGCGTCTTGTCCATGCGAGATGCCATAAGGGCGTTCTGATATTGCTGGCGGGTCACCTGACAGAGAGGAAGAAGAAGAATTAACGAGACATAGTTATACTGGTCTATTTTGGATTTTTGTAATGTGGTGCTGCTAATATCTGTAATTAATCACATGAGGTTGTATTTTTATATAATTTTAAGTTGCTTTGAATAGAAGCATCATGGAAATTCACACCGATATTTTCAGATTTAGATTTTTAGAGAAAGCACTGAACTATATAGTCACTAAATTATGGCTGCAAGTTGTTTCAAGGAAACTTCAGACTTTTTTGTATTTTTTAATGGGTTGTGTAAGTTAACATGTTAAATGAAAATATCAAATGTGTAACTATCATTTTTAACACATCTACCAAATTGAATTGTTAGTTTCAGCTTTCTAAAGACAAAAACAGAGAGATGAATCATTTTTGTTTTATTTTCATATAATTATTTGATTCTATTGACATGTTTAATTTTTAACAGTAGGAAATAAAAACGAAATCTGTTCCTAGGTTCTTATGACATTTGTTCAGAAATCTTTCAGTTGTTAATACCAAGTAAATAATTTCCAGAAAATATTTTAATAATTTGCTTAGCTCTAGTACAGGCATTCCCTAAACAAACCCGTCTCATGTGAAATATTTACTTATAAAGTACATATAATATATCACAAAACTGCATGTTCACAGGTTCTCTGATGTCAGTTAATTGTCACAAGATATGCAAGTACACTAATACAATATTTCATCTTTTTAAGTGTTTTATTTCTTTTTAAGATTTAATTGATTATTAGCTTTTCATCAACTTACAAACCCAAACACCCAGTTTTTTGGAATCTCTGTTCTAGTGCAATGACAATATAAAGGCCAGTTATTTATTTTGGAAATGTATAATATTACACTGTATAATATTATCACACAATATAAATGAGACTTTATTCAGGGAAATATAGCTGTCTTTATATTTCAGAAAGCTGCATGATGCCCTTAATTTGAGCTTCTGCTTAATGTGAAAACATAATATGATTTTCAGTTTTAACATGACTGTGGTTAGACAGGAATTTACGAGTCAAACTGCAACTTTCAGCAATTCCATGCATTCCAAGCAAACCAGTTTGAGTTCAGAAGTGCAATATAAATTGTCAGCAGCGTTCAGACCTTGATGTAGAGCAGGTCAGAGGTGGCTCTCACGGAGTAGTCTGGCACGTAGACCTGAAGGAAGGAGTTGAGCTGGTTGTTGCTGCTGCCCAGCGTGGGAGTGACCGCCTCCATCCGGTCACTCCTGTTCAGGGAGTCCGAGTGGTTGAGTCCGAACGGTCGTGGAGGTGACTTATTTTCTGTATAGCAAATAAAGGGTAACATGCAGGTCAGTGGTCAGCTGCTGGTGTTGCTGTGATGTAAACAAACGAAACAAAAGATTCTTGTCTGTTGTTCCATTCATTTTGGATGCCCTGTCTCTTCTCATGAACCGTGCTGTGGAATTCTTTAGACACAAAAGTTGAGCTTCATTTATTTACGAGCCAAATTGTGATGTAGCAGCCATTTAATATGACTTAGATCTTCCTCTGCTAGAAATCCAGCGAGGATTTGCTTACACAGCCAAATAATGAACATAAATAAGGAAAAACAACCATTAACAAATGACTTCTAACCCTCTTTTGGCACTACCTTTTGTTTTGCTGATAAAACAATGGATATAATCCATTCCCTTTTTACACGTTTACAAACTTTGCCAGAAAGTGACATAATTAAGATTAGAACATCTGCTTAATAACTCACACGTAACGCAAGGTGAAGAGTTTTTAATCAAAATAAGATTAGGTTCTCCACTTCTTAAAGAAACAGTTCAAAGAGTGTCTGTGGGGAAGCAGTCCAACAGTCATTACACTGGAATGTATATAATCCCAGGGTCAGATATCTAACCGTGTGGATTTTTTCAATTTAGAAAAATATACACAACCAATTTGCTTCATATGAAAATTTTTTATCAAACAACAAATGGTTTGTACAATAGCATTAAAAACGTTTAGGTTGGTAAGATTGTTTTTATGTTTTTGAAAGAAGTCACCAAGGCTGCATGTATCAGCTAAAAAAAATTTTAACTGTAATATTGTAATATATTGTTAAATACATTAATATATTGTGAAATATTATTATAATTTAAAAGAACCTTTTTCTAATTTAATATATTTTAAAAATTTATTCTCGTGACAACAAATTTTTAGCAGCCATTACCCCAGTCTTCAGTGTCACATGATCCTTTAGAAATCATTATAATATGCTGATTTGGTGCTCAAGAAACATTTCTTATTATTATCAATTTTGAAAACAGTTGATCAGATCATTGCTTATAGGCTCCCATAACCATTATCAGACCACTGACAGTTACTTTGTCAAAGAAAATGAGGACCTTGAACAGGGAAAACTCTTAATGCAACATTCCAATCTTCAGATTCTAATGTGAAAGAGAGGATTCAGTGGAAGGAATGAAAAGGGGTGAAGAAACGAGTGCGGTACCTGGAGATCCTGCCAGCGATTCTGCCCTGCTCACAACAAAGGTTCGAGACAAGGAGAGAGGAACTGGAGACCAAGTGGAAGGGAGGGAGAAATAAACGGAAAAGAAGGGAAAGACAAAAGGAAATCATGGGGAAGAAAATATGATTTACACAGAATTCCATCAAGAATCAAAAGAGTAATCATTTGCATAGTGTGCATTTACATAATGTGATTGATTAAAGAGAGTCAGAAGCATGTGTAATAAATCTGAGAGCAAACAACAACATCATGCATGATTTGGTAGAAAGAGTTGTATAAAATGAAGAAATCAACCATACGAAAGTGTGTAAAAACATCAGAGATGAGATTCTTTCTTTCATGACCAAATATCGTACATTTCATAAAATCATCAGTTATTTTCATAAAAATCCTGACATTTAGGGGGGGTGTGCAAGAAGTGAGAAAATCCATCATTCAGACCTGGTGAAGAGGTTAAAGCCAGCACTCCATAAAAAGAGAAGGCAGCAGCTTCAAACTTCATCCCCTCCTTTCCAGCCTCAACCTCCACCTTCCCCTGTGAGCCAACAGTTACAAGTATTTGAGATAAAACTCAGTAAAGTGTTGGAATGAAATTTGTTCAAAATAAGGAGTCCAACCCTTTGCAACAGTTTTTGCTATAATATGCTGTCTAGGTAGGCAGCTCTCTAGGTTTTGGAACAGAGCTTCGAGATTTCAATCCTGTGTTTTCAATCAGAACTCATACCTGCAAGATGAGGATGAAGTAGTCCACAGGCTTGTTGCGGTGAAAGAGGTAGTGCTCTGACATTTTCTTGTTCTTGTCATCATATTTGAGCTCCTGGATGACGTTAGGATGTTTCAGCAAGCGCAGGAGGATTTTCTCTGACATTTGAGCCGTACTAAAGGACTCCACCTCTAGGGGGAGAAGGGGAAAAAACGGGTTTAAGAATGTTTTACAAATTTGTGATTGCATTCTTAATCATTAAAAAAACCACAGAGACACATGTAGTTACATGCTGGACATCAGTACCAGTTGCCAGGAAACGCAGTGCGGCCAGAAGAAGCTGCGGTAAGAATGCTTTACAAGTTTGTGATTGCATTCTTAATAAAAAACAGAGACACATGTAGTTACATGCTGGACATCAGTACCAGTTGCCAGGAAACGCAGTGCGGCCAGAAGAAGCTGTGGTGATATTTTCACGCTCAACTCATTATCTGTGGGTTTGAAAGCAGAGAAGTCCTGTTTCCTCTCTCTGTGAGCTATCCTCTTTTTCGTCTTGTTGTCAGCTTTCATTTGGGAATAACAAGATGACATGGTTAGATGGTTTTACTTACATTGCATTAAAGAACTGAAAAATCTCTTTGAAATTTAGTTTAAAATCCAGGTTCTCAGATTAGGTAGTCTTTGTATTCATTTTGATTTATATGGTTTTGAACATTCTTAATTCTATTTTTAAGAAAAGTTTCAATTGAATGAATCTAAATAATACATAATGTGGTGTAACCATCAATAGAATTACCTTGAATACATGCGAGGGTATACATCTTAAAACAAAAATAAAAAATACATTTACAAAAATAAATCAATGTAAAGTATTTTTAATAAAATTATCATGAATTATTCATAAAATAGATATTAGGTGAAACAAATTTCTGATATTTTTAGAGACTTATTGAAATTTTTGACCCTGACCCCCCTTAAAAATATCAAAATACATACATAAAAAAAAAAAAAAAAAGTAATTAAATTAAAAACTTGCTCATCTTAGAAGAAGTGCATTCAATTCACTGTATGTATAAACTATATATTTTGGAAAAAAATTAATGAGCGCAAGTCAATCACCCATAGGTTGAATAGAATAGAATAGAATAGAATAGACTCATATATTTGGATAATAGCATGTGCCAGACTTGTAAATGTAAATGGTACTCACTGTACAAGTCAGTCTCATCAAGAATCTCAGATTTGATGATTTCCTCAATGACGTCTTCTAGCGTGACGATGCCCAGAACCTCATAGAATGGGTCTCCCTCTCCTTCATTATTCACTCTTTGGACAATGGCCAGATGGGATTTACCTGCCACGGCAAAAACCAAACATACAGTTACACTATAAGTTTATGAGGTATCTCTCAAGATAATTTCGGACATGGTGGTCCCCCTGTACCCTAAACAACCATAAATGCACTAAACCCCACAGAATCACAGTTCTGTTGGTTTATGATTACAATATGTCACGCATGCTTACTAAGAACCACGAGAGAGTTATTATTTGACAGTTGTGACTGTTCAAACATAAGGTTCTTGGAAACAGTCAGACAACGATCCATCGCGTTTTCTTAGCAAATCTCTCGTGGTTCCACATCTGTTTTCCCAGGACCTCCTTGATAAGCTGCTTAAAAAATTCCTGCCCAGCACTGTCAACCAAAACGTTAAAGAAAATGATTTTCCTGTTTCTCAGCTAGTGATCATTTAAAAGGAATTTTCCGGAGCCAGAGCTAATATTAGATATGAAATGAAGTTTCCATTCCACTTGGGCAATGCTCTCACTGGCGTGGCAGTGTAGCAATCCATTATGTAGGGTGTCCGTATAAAACTTTTCCATAAATACCAGTATACAGCAGCAAAAAAGCAGCAGCGGTTTCTTTAAAAAACTACTGGGTGGCAGAGAGACCCGAGTTAATGACTGACCAATCTTACTTTACCCTGTGCTTGCTCAAAGGGATGTGCGGGCCTATTTCATGCCTGTTGGATTCAGTAAGCACCAATACTGGTCTGGGGAAATATAAGTTTGTTTTCATTTAAAACCAGCATGACTTGAAATCAGTGGGAAAATAAGATTATTAGTCCAGGCCGCCCACATCTCTCAACCCTGATCTATCTGATCTTTAGACAGTCACTCCTCAACCCATGAATTAAATAAGACGCAATAAATGATCTTTCATTGGTTCAGTCTAGTTACAGCCAAACTGAGAACACAAGTAGGTCCTATATCCAAAGAATCTAGAGAAGAAGAGCCATTGTTTTGAGTTTCCAAGAAAGGCCCACACAGTGTCACAGAGGCTTTAACAGCAAATAATAAAAAGTCTGAGACTGTTTAATTTTGACCACTTTGAGAAGATATTTTGAACTGTATTATTCAAATAAATGTTCTTTCACATTTCTAGTTTTTATGAGTTCTGATGCACTTGTGTTCAGAATTATCTTGCATTTTTTTATCAAAAATACAGTAGAAACTGTAATATTGCTGAATAAAAATATTTCTTAATTTCTTAAAAAGAAATCAATGACAACAAACTTTTGAAAGGTAGTGTATACGTACATGTAGTCTATAGCCAGAGGGAGCGTATAATTCTCCCACACTTCCCAAGGCATAAAAATATGACCTCTGGCATGTAAGAATAAGGCACTTCCTTTCAATGCTCAAGACATAGCTGTCGAGCATAAAGCATTCTTTCGAGGGAAAAAAATCCAAGATGGATTGATGGAATGCTTTCTAGAAAGGCCGTATATTAAACATTTGAGATCAAGTGAACAGAACACATGGTTTCTAGACAACACACAAAGACACATTTTGTACATTCCCACCTTATTTATGGAATGAGGTTTTTCCTTAGATATTTTCCATAATGGAATTTCCCTATAAATAGCCGATGGGACTGTGGGTGGCACGTCTGTGATGCTTTACTGGAACATCTTACAAATGTTGCAGGCACTTATCAAGGCTGATGTGCCTTTTTATATAGCACTTTTTAAAACAGTAAAATGACTTTAGGTTCCCAAGGAAAAGACTAAATATTTCACCCTGGAAATGGAAATTTCAGTGCAGTAAATTCTCCCCCAGTTCTTCTCCCCTGTGGCTGGCCTATGACTAACAGCATCATAAACTGTATAATAGTGCATGCACAGTTATTTCCAACACAAAATATCATTAACATTAGCTTATATTCAATTACAAATCTTCTCTTCAGACCTCTATGTTAGTCTCACTTACATTAAAGTCACATGTCAAGATATTAAAGGGATGGTTCACCCAAAAATGAAAATTTGATGTTTATCTGCTTACCCCCAGGGCATCCAAGATGTAGGTGACTTTGTTTCTTCAGTAGAACAAAAACGAAGATTTTTAACACAAACCGTTGCAGTCTGTCAGTCTTATAATGGAGGTGAATGGGAATCACAGCTTTGAGAGTAAAAAAAAAAAACATACACAAACAAAACCAAATTAAACCCTGCGGCTCGTGACAATACATTGATGTGTAAAGACACAAAACGATCGGTCTGTGCAAGAAACTGAACAGTATTTATATCGTTTTTTACCTCTGATTCACGCAATGTCCAAACTGTTCGAACTAGTGATGTTAGGTTCTTGAATGAATCGTTCTTTTGAGGCGGTTCTCAGGAAGTAACCGGTTGAGCCGGTTCACAAATCGAACTGAATTGAACTTTAGTTCCGGGTTGATGATGCAGGACGCACAGCCGAAGTAGCACGTCCAACTCAAAAAGAACCGAATGAGCCGGTTCAACCGACTGTCGAAGTTTGCCGAGGATTACCGAGGACTCAACATGAACCGAATGAGTCGTGGTGAAGTTTGCCGAGGATTACCGAAGATTCTGATGAGTGAGTTGACGATACTGTGCAAGCCTGAGGCGCGCGAAATCAAGGAGTTTATAAGACTGGTTTATTCATTCTTTATACTGTAGACATGTAGAACATATCCGCGTTTGTGCATCAATGTCTGTAATGTGTGCTGCAGGTGCGAAAATTTTAGGAATCTTATCCAAGTTGTAGGCTAGTCAATATTGCTCAGTCAGTCGTATCTGAGGATCCGCGAATGAAACTGTGACCACAAACACCATTAACTTAAGTGAATTATATGGCAATAATCAGCAATATGCTTTCACACAAAGAACTTTATTTTTGAATGTTTCAACATGAGTTGACACAAATGACTTATTTGTATTTTTCATTGATACAACATGGCACTGAGTTGTTAGAAAAGAAATGCGTAGAGACGTTATTGCTTGATGACGTCAGGAACCGATGAATCGGCTTTTTGAACCGATTCAATGAGCCGATCTGTCCAAAAAGAACCGGTTCGCGGAAATGAATTGGACTTTGCATCACTAGTTCGAACTGTCCTGAGCGGCGGCACGTTCTCAACAGCAGGCGCGTTTTACACATCAATGTTTGTGTTAAAAATCTTTGTTTGTGTTCTACTGAAGAAACAAAGTCACTTACATCTTGGATTCCCTGGGGGTAAGCAGATAAACATCAAATTTTCATTTTTGGGTGAACTATCCCTTTAAAGCTTCCCAACATACTGAACACTTCAGTGCTCATAAACATCTATACTTTAAAATGTTAAAAAACATATGACTTTATCTATACCTAGAAGACCTTCGATGCCCAAAATGCTCATTTAACTGATATAATTACATGAGAATTTCGAATATATCTGGTAACAATGAAATCGTACTCTGTTACAAACGTAACCTCAGTTCCCAGAGATACGGGAACGAGTACTGCGTCTGCTAAGATGCTATGGGAAAAAGTCCTTTTTACTCTTGAACTGAAGCCTTTTTCAATAGCGCAGTGTAACTGCACAGCCATTGGTTCATGCAGTACACTTTAAAAATTAACCAATGGCTCAGCAGCGGTGCTGCACAAACCTATGGCCACAAAGCAGAATGGGCGGGGCCATCTGGCTAAATAAGCAGGCATTTCGCCATAGGATTCAGGTTACTTCGACTAAAGCGACGACTGACGCTGCGTTCCATTCGGAAGGGCTCATCCCTATGCCCTAATCCCTTCAAAGGGTTTACCCTCCGGAGTGAGAGCTTCGAAGTGTTGAAGGGTGTAGGGGACCAAACAACTGTTTCTTGAAGTGCCCTTCTGCGTCATCATCACGTGCCCACACGGAGGTGCCGTCATCATGCAAAGAATCTGCGCAAAGGATCAAGGGAGCCCGAAGTGTCCATCAGTTGTACCCTTCGAAATCCTTCATTCTGAAGGGCCCTTTGAAAGTGGCCAGTTTTTTTTGCACTTCGGTTTGGAACGACCCTTCAATATGGCGGCTATGATTGTTTTCATTCCGAAGTGCCCTTCGGAGGGCGATATATCCCGTTTGGAACGCACCGTGAGTCATGCAGCTGCATAGCATGGCTAGCAAAGCAGTACTCGTTCCCATATCTCAGGGAACCAAGGTTACGTTTGTAACGGAGTATGTAACGGAGCCCAGCGAGGGCTGAAGTCGTCCTACAAGGCTTGGACAGATGGGCAGCCTTTGGCTTCCAGCCAATAGCAGTGGGCAGGCAGAGATGCGCGGCCACTGACTCATCCAGTGGAGGCAGCTTCTCGTACCCCTTATCTTCAGCGCCGTCCACCGAAGTGAGGGTGGTTGAAGCGGAAGTACGGAGACGTGCAGAGTATGGGGCGCGCCAAGACCTGGTGAGCTCGTCATGGACCTCCAGGAAAAAAAGGAGAGGATCGCTGACGAGGGGCTTGACGGCACCCCGGCAGGAACCACTCATCCAGACGGCTGAGGGAGGGCTCCTTCAGTGGAGACCACTCCAATCCCAGCTCCTCGACGGCTTTCGAGAGGACACGGAGGAATTTGGCGACAGCTCCTCTGCGTCCGAGGCTGCTAATGACATGCTGTCATCCAGCAGCTCGTTATCACTCCCACCGAACGAGACCAGATCGCTCGCACTGACAGAGGGACGCTGGTTATGCTGGGTGAAGAGGACAGGGGAAGCCTCTCTGTGTGGAGAGAGCGAAGCATGCAGGACTTGAGCCGATGTGAGCTCGCTTGCATCCGAGCGCTACGATCCTCTGCCCCGCTGTTTTTTCCTCACAGGCTCCTGGGAGGAAGAAAACGGGAGGGCGCGAGGGGGTGGAGTCGCTTTCTGAAAAGAAATCTATCCGCGAGCGCAGAGAGGCGAGACTCATGTTCTCACAGTGGGAACAATCCGTTTCGGTGAGCGCGGATTCCGCGTGGGATTTCCCCAAGCAGGGAACGGACTCACGGTGGCCTCCATCGACGTGCAGGGGAGACCACTGCTGTGCGGCACTGAAGGCGGCAGGAAAGGCGCCGAATCAGCTGAGCAGAGAGATCGCTATTCCACTGCGAGACGTGTCAATGGTGAGCAGGCTCTTCAGTCAGCGGAGATCAGCGTAGAACGCCATCGTCGCTGAAGGAGAAGAAATCTGAATCCTATGGCGAAGTGCCCGCTTATATAGCCAGATGGCCCCGCCCATTCTGGCAGGCTTGGGCGGGCTTCGTGGCCATAGGTTCGTGCAGCACCCCTGCCGAGCCATTGGTTTGTTTTTAAAGTGTACTGCACGAACCAATGGCCGTGCAGTTACACTGCGTTACTGAAAAAGGCTTCAGTTCAAGAGAAAAAAGGACTTTTTCCCATAGCATCTTAGCAGACGCAGTACGAGTGAAGTATCGATAGGGAAGTACTGATGGTACATTTAAGCATTCATTACAACCTATATTATTTACATTAAAGGGGTCATATGAAGGTTTTTTAAAGATCATTATTTTGTGTATTTGGTGTAACAGAATATGTTGACATGCTTTAATGTTCAAAAAACACATAATTTTTCAAATACTGTACATTATTGTAGGTCCTCTATGCCCCGCCTCTCTCAAACGCTTCGTTTTCTACAAAGTCCCTCCTTCCGACAAGCGCAGTCTGCTCTGATTGGCCAGCTGACCCAGTGCATTGTGATTGGCCGAACACCGCAAGCACTCGTCGGAAATGTAACGCCCCTTACCATAATCACGAGCTTCAGCTTTCAAAATAAATGTAAAGACAGAGCCCGAAAGGGGAACAGAGTCGCGTGACAGACACAGTGATGAAGCTGGTATGTGTGCAGTACACAAGCCACGGTTAAGACAGCTGACTCCACTGTGA